CGGTGGTCCACTGGGCGACGACCTTCCGCGCCTCCTGAATCGCGTCGGCGAAGGGGTTGACCTTTTTCTGCTTAGGTTCGGCTGGCGTTGGTTCTTCGACTGACAGTACTGGTTCGGCTTTCGGCTCTGCCTCCGTGCTTGTCCTCCTGCGCTCGGCGGCCCCTGCAGGCGCTGGCTCGGCCTCAGGCGCTGCAGCCTCAGCGGCGCTGGCCGTTGCCGCGGGCGTCGCCCCAGCACTGGCCTGCTCCGCGGGCGGGCGGGCGCTGATGCTGCTCTGAATGTTGTCCTGGCAGGGCTAAGGCTTACCAAAATTAGCCTGGCGAAGGACCCAACCACATGCAGTTGTGAGTATCGCATTCGGGGGAGCCCCGTATGGGGCCACGAAACGCTGTACTGGGTGGGGGGGGCGCATGCGAACTGCGCCACTGGGACCTTCGGTGGAGCTCCCTATGGGGCCACGAAACGCTGTAATGGGTGGGGGAGCGCATGCGAACTGCGCAATTGGGACCTTCGGTGGAGCTCCCTATGGGGCCACGAAACGCTTTACTGGGCGGGGTATCCCTCGGTGGAGCTACCTATGGGGCCACGAAACGCTGCCCTGGGTGGGGGGGGGGACGCATGCGAGCTGCGCCACTGGGGCCTTCGGTTGAGCTCCCTATTGGGCCGCGAAGCGCTGCCCTGGGTGGGGGAACCACATGCGGGCTGTGCCTCTGTGACCTTCGGTGGAGCTCACTATGGGGCCACGAAACGCTGCCCTGGGTGGGGGAACCGCATGCTGGCTGTGCCACTGTGACCTTCGGTGGGGCTCCATATGGGGCTACGAAGCGCTGCCCTGAGCGGTGGAACCGCATGCGGGCTGTGCCATTGGGACCTTCGGTGGAGCTCACTATGGGGCCACGAAGCGCGGCCCTGGGCGGGAGGACCGCATGCGGGCTGCGCCACTGGGACCTTCGGTGGAGCTCCCTATGATGCTACGAAATGCTGCCCTGGGTTGGGGAATCGCATGCGGGCTGTGCCACTGGGACTTTCGGTGGAGCTCCCTATGGGGCCACGAAGCGCTGCCCTGGGTGGGGGGACCGCATGCGGGCTGTGCCACTGGGACCTTCGGTGGAGATCCCTATGGGGCCACGAAGCGCTGCCCTGGGTGGGGGAACCGCATGCGGGCTGTGCCACTGGGACCTTCGGAGGAGCTCCCTATGGGGCTGCGAAACGCTGCGCTTGGTGGGGGAACTGCATGCTGGCTGTGCCACTGGGACCTTCGGTTGAGCTCCCTATGGGGCCACGAAGCGCTGCCCTGGGTGGGGGGACCGCATGCTGGCTGTGCCACTGGGACCTTCGGTGGAGCTCCCTATGGGGCTACGACACGTGTGAGGGTGTGCCGAGAGCAGAGGCAAGGAGGGGCAGGAGGAGGGAGGGGGCAGCGGGGGGAGAAGGAGACGCGGGGCACCGTGACGTTCAAAACGAGGACCCAACACCACAGGATGGTTGGGAAAAATGGCTGTGGCGTCGACGGCGACGGCGACGACGGCGGTGACAACGATGACGACGCCGCCGCCGCCGACGACGACGACGACTGACGAGCAGCGGCGGCTACGATCAATCCCAGGCCGACGAGTTCGCCAAGCCCGAGCGCCACCAAGGCGACCACCGCAGACCCGAGGCCCTTCTCGCCGCCGCCATCGCCGTCGTCTTCGTCGTCGCCATTGCCGCCGTCGGTGAAGCCGCCAGAGTTCACCGCCGCCGCCAGCGTCGACATCCCAATCGGTCCTCGCCCAGCCACTGGGTGTGCTTCACCCACTCCTGCGAGAAAGTCTCCTTGAGGCCAGAAGTCACGTAGAGCCCGCGGAGGCTCTCGGTCCAGGAACACCACTGAATCCACGGAGGGCCGAGGCTCATGCAGCGCGTCATGTACTTCATGGCCTCGGGCGCATTCTGAAACATCACAGTTGAAACCAAGGCTCCCAAATCAAAGATGGGTAACACGGGGCTCTGACTGGCCCCGCGTGCCCTATCTAGACCCTAAGGGGATTCAGCACCGAGCCCAGCTATCTCGAGACCTCTTGGGTATCTGTGGACTTGGAGTCCCATCAAGAATGTTCCAAGGCGTGTTGCGGGGGGGGGGCTCTTCGGCCCGATGGGGGCCTCACGCGTCTCCAAGGGGGTTTCAATATATGAGCAGCACTAAGGAATCACAAAACAAAAAAGACATCGGCACCGCATTCACACATGTTGGAATTACCGAGGCGGAGCTTCTTCCAATAGGTCGTCCTGCTCCTCCTCCTCCTTCTCCTCCTCCGTCTCCTCCTCCTCCCATTGCCACTCCCTCAACCTCCTCCTCCTTCTCCACCCCCCTCCACCTCTGCCTCTCCCCCCCTGCTCCCTCCCTCCTCCTCCTCATCAGTCTCATCCTTCCTCGCTCCATCTTCCTCCTCAGCCTTCCCACTCCTCCCTCCACTCCTCCTCCTCCTCCTCCTCCTCCTCCTCCTCCTCCTCCTCCTCCTCCTCCTCTGCCCCCTCCTCCCCCTCCCCCTTCTCCTCCTCCAACGTCTCCTATCCCTAATCATCCTCAGTCTCATCTTTCTCTTCCCCCCCCCCTATGCTCCTCATCCTCCTCCTTCCTCTTCCTCCTCCTCCTTCTCGCTCTCGTCCTTCTCCTGGGGTGGTCTGTGGGGGTTTCGTGTCCGAGTTGCCTGCATCCACCCTGCTTTTCCACCTCCTTCGAAGTGCGCCATCCTTCCTAGAGGGATGTATACACTTTTTTTCCAGCTCTCCCTCTTCTCTGTCTGGACCTTTGACCACGAAGTGCTCTTCTTGGCGCACTCCTTCCTGGCCCACTCCCGTCTGAACGCTGCTTTTTCGGTATCCGTTTTCTTCTGGCCGTACCCTTCGCGCAGGGCCTTAGAGATCTGGTTACTCCCCCTGATGGCCCTGTCCCACCTCTTGCCGATGGGATTGCCCTTGGTCGCAGCAGTGGGCACCTCGAAATCGTTCGCCTTCATCGACTCCCAAAAGAGAAACTCCGACTGGTCCCTGGGCCCGAGATTCGACATGATCTCGTCGCGAATCAGGAGGTCACCTGCGTCCTCGGGGTTCGAGGGCCACTGTTTAGCTGTGTCGATGGGATGGCCCTTCTCCTTGAGCAACTCTGAGAAGCAATCGCTCTGGAAGGCCACCGCCATCTGCTGCTGCAAGATGCACGCCTTCTCCTCGCTGACACCCTCGGGGCCCTGGCAAGAGAGGATGAAGTCCTGTGCTGGAGGGTGCCCGACGCGGGGGAGGGGTGGTGAAGGGGGCGGCTGGTGGAGGAGGAGGAGGAGGAGGAGGAGGAGGAGAAGGATGAGGAGAAGGATGAGGGGAGCCAGCGTCGGGGGGGAAGCAGGAGAAGGGGAGGAGGAGGAGGAGGAGGAGAAGCAGGAAGAGGAGCATATGGAGGAGTGGCAGGCGCACGAGGAGGAGGAGAAGGATGAGGAAAGGAATGCCATGAGGAGGAACATGAGCAGGAGAAGGAGGATCGAGGAGGAGGAGGAGGAGGAGGAGGAGGAGGAGGAGGGCCAGGGCGAAAACGGAAACGTCCAACCCTAGGTCGTCTCCAAACCAACCTCAGGCAACCGCCATCGGGCGCGCGGGTGGCAGTAAGGAGGAGGATCGAGGAGGAGGGGGAGGAGAAGGATCGAGGAGGAGGAGGAGAAGAAGAGGAGGAGGAGGAGGAAGAGGAGGAGGGAGAAGGAGGAGGAGGAGGCTCCCCTCAAGGAGACACGATCGCGATCTCGAACACCCGAGCCCCCGTCCGCGCCCTCAGGCAGCTCACCCACAACGAGCTCTCCCAGGCATCGGGGCGGGGATGAGGGCAGGGGCGACGACGACGACAATGCCCGCCCTTCGTCCTGGAACTTCTGGCACCACCCCTCGGCCTGCTCGCCTAGCTGGGACCTCTTGCTGGTCTTCGGCGGCGTCTCGTTGCCCTGATCCGACGGGGGTGAGGGGGGGAGGGGGGAGGAGGGTGATGAGGCGGAGGGGGCGGCCTGCCTCCTCTTCCGCCTCTTCTTCTCCCTCCCCCTCCTGCCGCCTCATCATTCCTTCTCCTCCCGCGCCTCGAGATCATCCTCTTCCTCCTCCGCGCCTCCGACGGGGGCGAGGGGGAGGAGAGAAGGTCACAGAGTTGATGCACCCGTGCCAAATCTGTGACCTCCTCCTCCTCCTCCCCCCTCCCTCCGCCCTCGTCGTCGCCGTCCTCCTCCTCGTCCTCCTCCTCCTCGTCCTCCTTCACTCTCAACCTCACCTCCATCGCTTCTTTCATGGGCCTCTGGCCGATCGAGAATTCAGGACCCCTCAGCCCAAGGCCAACGGCAACGATAACCGATGGAAGACGACGACGATGACAGCGACGACGAAGTCGAGACCGACGAAGACTATGCCGACGACGATTTCAATGAACTGATTTGCCAGCCGCCCTCGGTCCTTGGCCGCGCCGCCGCTGCCGCTGCTGCCACCGCCTGTCTGAGGCGTCGGCGGCAGCGATGCAGCCTCCTCAGCTGCTGGCCTGCAGTTCTCTCGGCGCTGCCGCTCTCGCCTCGCAGGGCGCGTCTGGCTGAGCTCCTTCCCCGTGGCAGCAGCTGGCGCACCGTCGCCAGTGACGCTCGCAGCTGGAGGCGCGACCGCGGCCTCTCGCTGCGCGGCTTGGGGCGCCCCGCGTCCGAGCGAGTGCTTGCCGAGGTCGAAGGATGGCGGCGCGGGCGTCTCAGGCGACGCCGCAATGCTGGGACCGCCCGCAGGGCCGCCAGCATCGTTCGCCACCGTGGGAAAGGGTACCTCGGGCGAGGCCTGTGCTGCTGGAGACCGCGGCTGCGGCGAGCGAAACGTCTGCGGCACGGCGACGCCCCCCGCAGGCGACGCAAACCGTTGCGATGCAACAGGCGAGGGTGGTGGCGACAGTGTCGGAGACCTCGGCGCGGCTGCAGCCCCATCAGCATGCGGGGTCGACGGCGCTCCCGACTGCGAAGCGCGGGTCTCATCGGCCCGAGGGTTGTAGTCGCTGTCATCGTCGATGGTCTCAGGACTGGCCGCAGCGGGGGGGTCAGCCGCATCGCGCCGAGCAGCATGTTCGCGAGCGGCCTCGTCGCCGACGGCGTCAGTAGGCGTCATCTCATCGTTGAGGGTGGACCCTCTCGGGAACCCAGCTTCTTCCCAAGATCCATCAGGCTGTCGGCTCATCTGGTGGGGGATCTGCCGCGGCTGGGCTGCAGCGCCGCTGAGGTGGCGGCCGGGGGGTAGCCCGTGAGGCTGTGCACAGCTGCGGCAAGGCGAGGTCGCAGCAGAAGCTATCGAGGAGCTAACTTATTAGGCTTCGCGCTCCATGAAGCGCAATTACCGCCGCACCCTTCGCTGCATGCAGCCTCTGGGCCAGGCGCTCTCATCAGCCTCGCGAGGCGCCTGTATCTTCGCGCCCCCCCCCACCCTTTCCCCACCGTCTGCCTGGGGTGTGATATTCACGTGAGAGGGCGGCGGCGTGCATCGAGGCGGATGCCCCACGACGTCAGACAAGGAAGCGGGATCACGTCTATCGATGGGGGTCGGGGGTTCGCGGGGGCGGAATGCTAGCGATGGGGCTTCGTCTCAGTGGGAGGTGGAGGAGGAGGAGGAGGAGGAGGAGGAGGAGGAGAAGGAGGAGGAGGAGGAGGAGACGCAGCAGCAACAGCAGGAGGGGGAGAAGGCAGACGACCCCTGTGACCCCGCACCCCCCAGGCCGCACGACGAGAACGCGGGCGACCGTATCTGACAAGCCTGTCGGTTCGGCCGCCACCCCCATCTCCCCGCTTTGCTCCCCGCTCTCTTTGTGACCCTTGTCCTCAACCTTCTTCCCGCCCTCCTCCTCCTCCTCCTCCTTCTCATCCTCCTCTCCTCCTCATCCTGCTCCTCGCCATCCTCCTCATCCTCCCCTCCGCCACCATTGGTTCATCGACCTGGTATTTCAAATCCAAGGACGCCGATTTTCAACCTGTAGCGAGTGCGCACACTCGCAGTCAAACCTGCTAGCGCCGATCCAGCGGCGCGGAACCCCAATCGGGAAAACAGGCCAGCTCTGGGCCTCCTTGCTGGGCGCCCGATCCTTCCAATCGGTGCCCTCCGAACTTTGCGCAAGCCGATCCTCCGTTGTGGATCGATCGGCTCGCTCGCCACGCCCGACCTGACCTCACATGTCGTCGAAGAGGCCCGCTGGGATCTCGTCGTCGCCCATGCCCGCGGCACTGCTCGCCGCGCTGCTCGGGCCGCTGCTGACGGGGCCGCGCGCGCTGCTGGCCGCGCCCTCTGAGCCCGAGCTGGCGTCCACAGCGATGGCCTTCTTGTCCATCTTCTTGCCCTTGGCGACCGTGGCGTCAAGGATCTCGTGGCCGTCGTCTGGCGCAGCTGTCGCCTTGCGGCCCCGCTTCGGGGGGGGGGCCTCCTCTGCCGCAGCTGCAGCCTCCTCTGCCGCAGCTGCAGCCTCCTCCGCCGCGCTGGTCTCGACCAAGTCAGCCCCCTGCTCGACCTCCTCGTGGTCCTGCGGCCGACCGTCATCATCGTCGAGGCTAGCTTCATCATCGCCGATATCATCCTAGAGCTCGTGCTTCTCCTCTCCTCCTCCTCTCCTCCATCATCCCTCTTCCCTCATCTCCTCCCTCTCCCTCTGCTTCCCCCCCTACTACCCCACCCCCTTCCACCCCGCCCCCAACCCACCCACCCACCCACCCACCCCCACCCACCCACACACAAACACACACACACAATCCTCCACCTCCCTCCTCCTCCTCCTCCTCCTCCTCCTCCTCCTCCTCCTCCTCATCATCATCATCATCATCATCATGATCATTATCATCATCATCATCCTCATCCTCATCCTCATCATCATCATCATCATCATCATCATCATCATCATCATTATCATCATCGTCATCATCATCATCATCATCATCCTCATCATCATCATCATCATCATCCTTCTCCTTCTCCTCCTCATCCTCCTCATCCTCCTCCTCCTCCTCGTTCCTCATCCCCCCACTTCCTCTTCCTGCTCATTGTTTCCCTCCCTCTCCCCCCTCCTCCCTCCTCCTCCTCCTCCTCCTCCTCCTCCTCCTCCTCCTCCTCCTCCTCCTCTCCTCCTCCTACTCCTGACCCTCTCCTCCTACTCCTGCTCCTCCTCCTCCTCTCCTCCTCCTCCTCCTCCTCCTCCCCACTCCTCACTCCTCCTTCCTCACTCCACATCCTCACTCCTCACGCCTCACTCCTCACTCCTCCTCCTCCTCCTCCTCCTCCTCCTCCTCCTCCTCCTCCTCCTCATCCTCCTCCTCATCCAAAGCACCCCTCAAAGCCGACCTTGATCCCTCAAAGCCCACCTGAATTGGGATCCCGATCGCGGTCCTTCTCTGCAGCTGCTGCTGGGCGCTTGCAGGACGCCTTCTGGGCCGCCGCCGCAGGCCTCTTCAGCGCCGCGCTCGACGACGGCCTCGAGCGCTCCGCCTCTGAGCCCCACACGTTCACGGCGAGCCACTTCCGCTTCAGCTCCTTGCAGTGCTCCTGCGTCGCGCCGCGCACGAACTCCCTCGCAGTGGCGAGCATGAACTCGAGCGCCTTCTCCTCGATGCCGTTCTTGCCGTCGCCGTATGCGAGCTCCATCACCTGCATCTTCTTGTTCTTCTTCTCCTTGTCGTTGTAGTGCCACAGCGACAGCCAGCGCTTCTCCTTCTTGTTGACGAAGGTCACTGTCACGCGGCCGCCCTGCTTCTCGTGGAAGTCCTGGAACTTCACGAGCTCGCCCAGCCCGCCGGCCAGGGTGGAGCTATCCGTGTCTGGGACGCGCCACTGGAAGCCGTCGGGCCACGTGCACACCACGAGCTTGGTGTCATGCATCACGCGCCCGACCGCGTACTGCGGGGACGCCTTGGGCTTGCCGCTCGGCCTCCGCCAGCCCGCCTCTGGGAGGTGGGGGGGTGGCGGGTGGCGGGGGGTCGCCAGCACCTCCGACGTCGTCGGCGCCGTCGTCATCGTCGGAATCGGTCGCCAACGTTTTCGTCGACAACGTCAATCGATCGTCGGCGGCGTCGCCTCGATCGTCATCGGCGTCGTCGGCCAAGCCTGCATGCGGCCATCGTAGCCGAGGTCCCACGCGGCTGTCTGCACCAGGGGCTCCAGCACCGAGACGCCAGGGCGGCCCCGCGAGCCGCGCGCCGCCGCGGAAGCTGGCGGCTTCTCCTGTGCGGCCTCGGGAGCCTCCTCAGGATCCTCAGCAGGCACATCCTCATCCTCGGGCTCCGCCTGCTCGTCATCAGGCACCTCGCCCGCGTCGTTCGGGTCGTCCGACCCCGAGCCGTCCAGCTCGTCGGCCTCGCCGTCGGACGCGAAGCCCTCTGTGAAGCACTCCGCCCACTGCGGGATCTTCCTGTTGGGGCTGACTGAACCTCGTCCGATCGCGCATCCTTCTCCTCCTCGTTCTCCCCCTCTCCCTTCTTCTCCTCCTCCCTGGCTCTCCTCCTCATCCTCCTCCACCTCCTCGATCCTCCCCCCTCTCCCCCATGACATTGGCGGCTGGGGCATGGCTCGAGGAGGGATGCGGGGACATCAATCCACGGGGTGGTCGCCAACGATCGGGGGGGCACAGGCGCGAGGATGAGGAGGAGGAAGATGAGGATGGATGAGGAGGGCGAGGAGGAGCAGCATGAGGCGATGGGGGAGATGATGAGGAGAAGGAGGAGGAGGAGGAGGAGGAGGAGGAGGAGGAGGAGGAGGAGGAGGAGGAGGAGGAGGGGGGACCGAGGAGGAGGAGGAGGTGGCGGGTTTTGAGACCCAAGGGTCCTCTGCCCAAGGGCGATGGCCACGTGCCTGAGCATTGCCCGAAGCATGTTGCTCTGGGAGGTCGCCCACGTCTCGAGCTCGGGCCCCAGCTTCCACGTGTCGTCGTGCTGACGGGCGACCTCGAGCAGCGCGTCCTTGGGCAGGGCGCGGCGGCGGATAGGCAAGGCAGAGCCCCCCACTCCTCGCTTTGCCTCTCCGCCCCCCCCCCCCCGCAGGGTAAGAGGGGGAGGGTTAGCGTGAACGACGATCGGCGATGAGGATTCTCATCGTCGATCTCGTCATCGGCAGCCTCGTCATCGTCGTCGCCCTACCTCATCCTCACCACCGCACTCTCCTCCTTATGCCTCCACCTCCCCCCCTTTCTCATCTTCCTTCTCCTACTCCTGATCGTTCTTCTCCTTCTCCTCCTTCTCCTCCTTCTCCTCATTCTCCTCCTCTTCGCCTCCACCTCCTCCTTTGTGTCCCTGGTGTCCCTGGCAGCCGTCGGCGTGATGCTCGCCGCGCCCAGGGCGCGCGTCACGCGGAGCAGCTGCCTGTGCTTCCTGATCTCCGCGTTGTCCTCGCTCGAGCAGGGGGAGGAGGAGGAGGAGGAGGAGGAGGAGGAGGAGGAGGAGGAGGAGGGGGAGGAGGAGCAAGAGGAGGAGGAGGAGGAGGAGGAGGAGGAGGAGGAGGAGAACTCCCCTCTGAAGAACCTGGATCTTCCCGTGGGTCCAAACGCACTCAGTTGTCGCTTGGCGTCCAGCCGTGGTGACGAGGGAGCCCCTGAAGGCCGACGTTGGGTTTGGGCGACTTCGATCGTTTGACCCTCGTCGCTCCCGCGGCCCGTCCAGCTTCGTGGTATACGCCAGCAGCTCGGGCCCCTGCTCCCACGCGGAGGACCACAAGAGCGCCAGCGCGCGGTCGTCGTTGAACGACGGCTGCTTGCCCGCCTTGGCGGCGACGTCGGCGACGTCGACGACGTCGACTTCGTCGACTTCGTCGACTTCGCCGACTTCGATCGTTGTCGTTGTCGCCGTTTCGAGGCAGCAACGACGACGATCCTCCTCTGCCTTCTCCTCTTCCTCCTTCTCTTCCTACTTCCCCTCCTCCTCCTCCTCCTCCTCCTCCTCCTCCTCCTCCTCCTCCTCCTCCTCCTCTCCTCTTCGTCCTTCCTCCTCCTCGTCCTCCTCTCCTCGACTCCTTCCTTCCACTCCTTCTCCTCCCCCCTCTCCTCTTCGTCCTTCCCCACTCCTCCTCGATCCCGCCTTCGGGGGCATGGCCCTCGGCAGCTGGCCCGCGGGGCCGAGCGCGGGCAGCGCGGATGCTCGAAGCCCGCGCTGCGAGTGCTGCACGCGCCAGCAACGACGACGACGAAAGGGGAAATGATAAAAACAAAAAATAACATCATTCGAAGACTCCGTGAATCAAATGAGGAAATATCATGCAGGCAATGGGTAGTAGTTCTTACATTAGGTGAGATCTAGAGAAGAGAGTTTTTTCGTTGTTGTTGTGTACAAGCGCAAACGATGCTGCATGATAACCATCCATATGGTTTTATCATGCAAGATAACCATCCATATGGTCATGCTAAAATGAGAACCATATGATAGTTATTCGAGACCTCTGGGTACAAGAGGGTTCCGAAACTGTCCAAGAATGCTCCATGGCGCCCAAGATGGCCCCAAGACGGCCCAAGAGGCTCCCGAGAGGTCCCCATGAATTGATGGCGCCAACCTTCCATCAAAGGAGCGAGCCGTTGAAGTGAGTGTCTGGCGTGACTTGAAGTGGATGAGCTTGGATGGCCATGAAGGTGCTCGGGCATTGGCGCGGGGGCATGCGGAAGTTGGGCGGCAACCGGGGCAGTTGGGGCGCGCGTGGGGAATTTCGCGCGAGGTTTGGATGGCGAAAAAAAAACAATGCTGACATGGGGAACGTCGGAGCGGCATCGGGGAAGTGGAACGGCCGTGGGGGGCGTTGGGCCCACGTGAAGGGTTGGTAAGGGGCACGATCAGATTCCGCGGGTACCGTCCTCTCCCACGCGCCTTGCGCCCACGGTGGTCATGGGGCATGCCCACCAACGGCCCGAAAGCGCTATCGGCTCAGAGCCTGGGGCGGCCACCGTTTGCTCCTCGGGCCTTCGTCGGCTTCGGGGGGGCGATGGCGCACGGGGTGATTTCGAACCCGGGCAGCGCCTGCGAGCCTCCCGCGCGTCGCGCTCGAACACTTATCGCGCAAGCCCGCGGACCTTTCCGACGCCTCCCGCGCCCAGCGGGGCTCTCCGAAGCACCCGCACTCTCCCTTATCGGGCGGGATCTGGGGCACTTCGACATTAAGCTGATCGGGGCATGCCTGGGGGGGGCATGGCTCAGGGTGCTCCGTGGCAGGTGATATTATGTTCCTGGATGGGGGGGGTGTTTGGGGGCGCGGTCGGGGTGGGCGGGTTGTTTCTCTTGACGGGGCCCTGGCAGTCTCGGGCCCGACAGTGCGTCGGGACAAAAACTGCCGCGGGCCGGTGGGGCGGCGCGAGGGGGGTGAAAGGAGGGGGATGGCGGCGCCCGGGGCGCGACTGGGTAGCTCTCAGGTGCGGCTGGGACACCGCGGGAGCGGTTAGAGAGGGGGCGGCCACGAGGGCCTTCGGAAGACTTGAACAGCCCGCGGAGCTCGGAAGAAGCGCGGAAGCTCGGTCGGGGCACGGGGGGCCGCGGGGGGCGCAGAGGACGGCCCCCCACGGTT